GCGCATTAAAACCATCCGCGCCAAGGAACTAGCCCTGCTCCGATCGTACCAGTACCAACGCGTGCTCAACACAGTCGTGCTGTCCGTTGCCCCGGTCTTTTCTCTGGCTTTGTGTCTTGCTGTATACATCGCTCAAGGCAACGAACTCACCACACCGCTGGCATTCACTATCATAGCGTACGTGAACGTGGCCAGAATTCCATATTCAAACTTTTCGAGCTCTGTCATGTGCGCATCCGAAGCTGTGGCCTCATGCGCTCGCGTTGGTAAGTTCATGGCAGCCAAAGAAGTCGCAACACAGGCTGCCATTCAGGCTAGCGATGATGGCTGCGTCAAAGTCGAATTCCAAAATGCACACTTCTCGTGGAGTCATGAAGGCTCTTGTTCTACCTCGATCACGTCCCCTGTCCCCATGACCCTGAAGGACATTACGTTGACGCTTGTCCCGAAGACCCTGACCATCGTGGTCGGTCCAGTCGGCAGCGGCAAGTCGAGCCTCGTCAGCGCCATCTTGGGCGAAATCCACCAAGTCGGCGGCACCCGCACCGTCGCCGGACGCGTCGCGTACGCCAATCAAGAAGCGTGGATCCAGCACGCCACACTCCAAAACAACATCCTGTTCACCGCCGACATGCACGCCGACAAGTACGACCGAGTGCTGTCGGCATGCCAGCTCAAGCCGGACCTGGCCATGCTGCCGGACGGCGACCAGACCGAGATCGGCGAGCGAGGCATCAATTTGAGTGGCGGCCAGAAGGCCCGCGTGAGTCTGGCCCGAGCCATGTACCGGTCGGACGCCGCCGACCTCATCCTGCTGGACGACCCGTTGAGTGCGCTGGACGTCCATGTGGCCGGCGCGGTGTTCCGGGAGTGCGTGCAAGGGATGTTGCAGGACAAGACGGTCGTGCTGGTGTTGAACAGCCACTACCACTTCCTCCCCCACGCGGATCGCGTGGTCGTGATGGAGGACGGCGCGATCGTCGGCGACGGCTCGTTCGACTCCATCAAGGACGCCTTTCCACACCTTATGAGCTCCTCCGACAAGGTTGATGCCTCCCCGCCAACACATGCTGCGACACAACCCACAGTGAGCGCACAGGTCAAGGGCGGCGAGTTGATGACAAAGGAGGAACGCAGGGTCGGCAACGTGATGTTTGCAACTTATGCGTCTTACTTCAGCGCTTCAGGCTGGAATCAATGGCTGGTCGTGGCGGCCATTGCAGCTGCGTACACGCTATCCCAGGCTGACTTGACGATGGCCGATTGGTTCATGGGGTACTGGGCCAAACACCCAGGCAACAATGGCTCGTCGACCGTGACGTACGTGGTGCTCGCAGCTATGGCAATGGTGCTGGTGTGGGGTCGAAGCTTGTTTGTGCTACTGGTGTGCCTGCGCTGCTCCAAGACATTGCATCAGCGTTTGTTCCGCAAAGTCGTGAACGCCCCCATCAGCTCGTTCTTCGACGTCACTCCTATCGGCCGCACCTTGAATCGATTCTCGAGCGATCTCGACCAAATCGACAGCATGCTGCCATTCAC